GGGAAGGTAAAAAATGGATATATATATATATATGTAACAAGTATGTATATATATACATAATAAATTTGGGTTACTACCTACACAAATATCAACTCCAGCTGAACTGTAGATTTATATATAAAAGCAAAACTTAAACACTTAGAAAGGCATATTAATAAATATATTTCTGAAATTCTGTAGGGATGGTTTCTTATTAATATGAAAGAAGTCTTAACCATAAGAGCTAATATTAATAAATTCAGATATTTTAAAATTAAGAATTCCTACTATCAAAGGCACCTGATTGAAAACAAAAAAGACAAGCCCCTAACTGGGTAAGATATTCACAATATCTTGTATAAAATAGAGAGTAAACTCCAGACATGTAAGGCATCCTTTAGACCAATAACAGAAATGCAAACGACTGAATGGAAAAATCAGGAAACTCACAGAAACACATATAACAGTAAACATATGAAGAGATGTTCAATCTTATTAGTTAACAGGGAACCACATATCAAAACCACTATGATATGTCAATTCATATCCACTCAATTGTGTAAAAACAGGAATTTTTTTTTTCAGGCAGATTAGCCCTGAGCTAACATCTGTTGCCAATCCTCCTATTTTTTGCTAAGGAAGATTGGCCCTGGGCTAACATCCATGCCCATCTTCCTCTACTTTTTATATGGCAAGCTGCCTTAGCATGGCTTGATAAGTGGTACATAGGTCCACACCTGGGATCTGAACCTGTGAATCCCCAACTGCTGAAGCGGAGCCCGCGAACTTAACCACTATGCCACTGGGCCAGCCCCAAAACAGGAATTTTGAAAACACCAAGTGGCAGAGAATATGTGTTTCAACAGAATCTTAGATATTTCTGGCGAGTGTGTAAAATGAAACAACCACTTTGGAAAACAATTCGCCATTATTTTGTAAACTTGAACAACTGCCTACTCTACAACCCCAACTACATCCAAGAGAAATTTGTACATCTACACTAGGAAACATATGGAGAATTATTCAGAACATCAGTGATTGTGAGAGCAAAAAAGTGAAAGAAATTTAAATGCTCTTTGACAGAGAAAGGTTGAATAGGAATATATTCACAATGAAATGAATCAGTGAAAAAATGAATTAGCTACAGCTACAAGTGAAAGAACGGCTGACTTCCAGTAACCTAAGTTTGAATAAGAAAAGCAAGTCCCTGTTCTCCACATCCTCGCCAACACTTGTTATCTTTTGACTTTTTGAAGGGAACCCTTATACACTGTTGGTGGGAATGTAAATTGGTAGAGCCATTATGGAAAATAGTGTGGAGGTTCCTCAGAAAATTAAAACTATCATGTGATCTAGCAATCCCACTTCTGGGTATTTACCCAAAGGAAATGAAATCACTATCTAGAAGATACCTGTACTCCCATGTTCATTGCAGCATTATTCACAGTAGCAAGATATGGAAACAACTTGTGTCCATAAACAGATGAATAGATAAAAAATGGATAAATAATTATATATATATTACATATACACACACAGCCTTTATACAGCCTTAAAAAAGAAGGAAATCCTGCCATTTACGACAACATGAATGAACAGGAGGACATTATGCTAAGTGAAACAAGCCACACAGAAAGACAAATATTGCACAATCTCATTTATATGTAGAAACTAAAAAAAAATTCAAACTCATGGTAACAGAAAGTAGAAAAGCGATTACCAGAAGCCGAGGGTTGGCAGAAAGGAGAGATATTGATCAAAGAGTACAAACTTTTGGTTATAAGATGAGTAAGTTCTGGAGACCTAATGTAACAGCATGGTGACTATAGTTAATAATAATGTATTATATTCTTGAAATTTCCTAACAGAGTAGGTCTCCAGTATTCTCGTCACACACACACACAGGTAACTATATGAGGTGATGGATATGTTAATTAACTTGATTCTGGTAATCATTTCACAGTGTACACGTATATCAAAAAATCACATTGTACACCTTAAATATGCACAATTTTTGTCAATCATACATCAGTAAAGCTGGGGGGAAAAAGCAAGTTCCAGAAGGCAATACATTACAACTAAAACTAAACAATACATTGTTTAGAATATGTGTATTTATGGTAAAACGATATATAAACTGGATTATAACGCAAAATTTATTGTGGTTATGTGGAGGCGCAGAGGGATGGGATGGACCGAGAGCACACAGGTAGCTATAGTTTATTGATAAAGTTCTAGTTCTTGGGTAGGAGGTGGAATAATAGACGTTTACTTCATTATTAAAAACAAACGAACAGTAAAATAAAAAGGTCATGAATGGACCAACAGTGAAAATGCATTATGAATCAAAGGTTATAACCATTCCAATCCTGTGCGTGAGAGCTTATAAAAACAAAACATAGCAACAGCAGCAGCAAAGTCAAGAGTGATAATTTAGTGGTAGTTTAAAGATTGTATTGGAATATTGGACTAAATGGCCTTTAAGCTTCTGAGCCTTTGTGATTCTATGAAAACTATTCAGGGTATTCTTCAAAATTTTCACATGGTACCACATACAGAAATAGGAGATTTCCCCTCATTAGACTCTTCCCTTGGGATTTTAGACCATCAGCCCATCACCCCAAGTAAATCATTTAGAGTAAAAAACTGGCTTACTATTTTGTGAGAAAATCTTGGAGCACAAATGATATAAGAATGGATAATTAGAAATGTGTAGTTTATTAATTGCATTCAACATTACCTAATTAAATGCAGAAAATTGCAATATCAGGTCATTCAGTTTATTCATTACCCAATGTTCAAAATCATTGTTTCTTTCTTTATGACTTCAATTATTTGGTTTTAGTTTGGTACTAGCATTTTCTGCATCCTGACAAGTTCAAGTGCTTCCTGGAATCCACTAAACATCTTCCTTATTTATTCTGTATCTTTTATTGTGCCTATTTATTATGTATCTTTTCTTGAGAATACCTCCATTGCTTTCTTCTTGTTCTTTTGCCACTGCATGCCTGTATCCTCAAATGAGATTAAATTTTCATTTTTTCTTTATTTTCTGAGCAGGGTTTATTTTTTATTTTGTTTGTTTTAACCATCTCTAGCCTCCAGCTAGCAATGATTTAAAAGCAAAGAAATAACTCATTTTACAATATTTTAAATTCTAAAACATTGTGTGTGTGTGTGTAACGTTTGAACAATTCATTAAAGACATAAATAGCTTAATTTTATATGATTTTTATTAGTAGTTACTAAGGTATATCTCTTTCAAAGCATTTCCAGAGTTCCTGTTCATATCATCAGTATTCTTTGTAGCCAAATAAACTTGTTCCCTGCTGACTGTAGATGGAACAGGCAACTGAGCTTAAACTGAGTAAAATCAGAAAATAAATAAATATTTTCTCACTCAACAGTTTTCTTTTAAATTCCAAGTCTCAGTATCCTTACTGAATTGTAGCACATGATGTTTATATTTCCCTCCAGTTCCAAGGGTCAATTTATATAAATACAAATTACTCTGAACTCTTCTCACATGACGTTACCTCAAATAACTGAAATTGTGGACAAGTCTTTAGAAAGCCAAATAATATCTCACTTCAAATTTTATGTATAAATCTGAGCAATATAGTGAAGTGGTAAGTGTGTTTGAAGTTGGAGGGCTGAGTTAAATTTCTGTGATTTCTAGATGTGACTTTAATTTTCTCACTTGTAAATGGAAATGCCATAAATATCTTCTGCTTACGATGACTGTGAGGGTTGAAATGAGATCAAGTTATTACCAGCAAACAACTAACATAGTACCTGGCACAAAGTAGCGTTTCAGTAAATGTTTTGCTAAAGAAAACCCAGACAAACAAAGTAAATAGGACTGGGAGCAAGGTGGATGGAAGTGAGGGAGGTACCTTTAGGGATAAAGCATGGAGAAAACAACATAGTGTCAGCTCCATCTCCATGAATAATAAAATGAAAATACTGATACGCGGTGGAGAAGTAATAACACAGATCTCTATCGAAACTGCTTGACTTCTGTTCACAATAAACCCTTGGATAGTGTAAAGATCCTGAAACTATTTGACGATGTAAGCCACACTGCTTTCTGCATATGCATATATTGTTAGCCTATGTTTCTACTTTACAATAAAATGGAAGATATTCTTATATCCTGCAGACAATTCAAATCTGACCCCCCCATACTAAGCATGTATTTTGTATATTTAAACATAAAAAGAACCTTAATTTTTCAGAACTGTCTCTGATTCCTTCTAAATGCTGTATGATTAATTATTTTTTTGTTCTGACTAGGATTTCTTGGAAAACATCACGATATTGGGAGTCTAGGGTCATCTGTCCAAACCTATCGTATCTTCCTCAGTAAAAAGTCAAACTATCTTTGCTCAGAATCTTTCACTTGTGGAAACTCATTGCTTATTCGTGCATCTTATTTCATATTTGATCATCTCCGACCCTTAGAAAATTCTTTATTAACTTGAGATAAAACCTTTTATCCCCAGTAACTTCCCCCAACTGGTCCCAGTAATGGCCTAAAGCTTGTACAAACAAAGTCACTATTCTCATCTTCTCAATACGCCTTGATTTCTATTTTTAGGTTTCAAGTAATAGCTGTGATACTACCTAACGTACTTTGAGTTCTTGGTTATTATGTGCCGGGCGCTTCATCAAGTGCTTTAAAAATTTGAATGACATTAGAAAACTGTGTGTATCATCTATTGCTTAGATGAAAATGTTCTTGCTAATTTTTAGATTTGCAGCTTTTGTTTCCACACTACCTTTTGATTTTGAGCTGTCAGTTTCTGATAGATGTATATTAAACCATCCCTATGATTGATTTTGAATTTGTCATATTCTCCTTGTAGTTTTATCAGTAGTTGTTTTAACTTGTTTCAAGGCTCTGCTATTTCATACATATAAGTTCAACAAACTTTGGTTTGTTGTGGTATTGTAGGTATTGTTGTGATCTACATTTTGCACATGAAAAAGCTGAAATTTACAGAGGTTAAACAACTTACCTAAAATCACATTGCTCATGCGTGGCAAAGACAGATTCACTTCCAGTTCTGCCTGGCTCCAGAGACTTGCGTTCTTTAGAGATGGGTAAAATATGGACTCTTATCTCCACTTTTGTAGACAGGCAAAACAAGGTCAGAGAGGTTCTGGTTTCGGTCTAAAGGAGTGAAAAGTCACATAAAGTTGCATCAGGACTCAGCTCTCTAGTTTAGTCAAAGGAGAGATGTTGCTATCACCTTCACGTTCCACATTTGGAAATGCTGTTCTCACTACTTTGAGTACATTTTAGGTTCAGAAGAATCTCAGGATTGGAAGGGATATTCAGGATAATGTAGTTCTCTCAAGGACTAAATATCAGTACTCTTCCCAAATATTTTTATAGTCTGAGAGACTTACTGTGAATGGCCTATTACGTCTTTTTACAGCGCTGTCACAAAGTCCATCATTACATTGACTAGGAATCTGTTTACCAGTTGTTTTCATGAATTTATTCTGAAAATTCCAATTCTTTATAAGATACATGGAACTTCGAAATTCTATCGCTTTTTCTGTATCTAGGCTGTGATGTGTCCTTTCCTCTATGGAAAATAGGCCATGATTAAAGAGTAGTATTTGAAGCTTTTTCTTGCTCTTAAGGATTTAATTGAGAATGGCTTTGGGAGTGGGGTAAAAGAGGTTAATTACTATTATTGTAATTGAAGAATTAATCTGGAAGAAACAATCACAATTACAAAGTTTAGTAGGAGATACCAAATAGACATGTTCAGGACTCTAGGGGAATTATCCCAGGTGTTTTGCTTTATTCAATTAATAAAAGCTTGGCGGCCTGCTTTGGAGTTTTAGGGAAACTGAAATGTAGAAAACTTTTGATATCCCCAAATAATTGACAAAATTATGTCAGATTTTCCTTTCCCAGCAATGCTGGCAAAAATGATCTTTCTAATGCTCTGAAAATGATAAACTTTTTTTCTTTCTCTATTAAAATGGAGAAAAATTCTTCCATTCTTGCCAAAACCTATAAATGGTGACTTTCTCTTCATTCATTATATTAGTCTGTACTTAATTCTTATATTAGCCTAAAAATTCTTAGGAATTGCAGTGATGGTTAGGTGCCGATAAGTGAACACAGACATTTTTTAGATTGACCAAATGTAGTCTGCAAAAAATATGGGGTAGAGATTTTCCAAAGCAGCCAGATGTGGAATGGAGAAGTGTGAAAATGGCATTACTCTCTGACAGTGTACTCCTGTACATGTTCTTTGCGTTGTGGTTCTTGTCTACTCCATTTAGTTCAACATCAAAAATGGTTTCTGGGACTCATCAATTTACTCCTTCTAAAGCCTTGAAACTTTGACATTTCTATCTATTAAAAGTTAGAAATTGTTGGATTAGTTTTAAAAATCCAACTGTATTTGGTTACTGGAGGCATATCCAAAACAGAAGCAGAAGAAATGATTGAAAAATAAAGGGATAGAAAAAGGATAATACAAGACAAACATTAACCAACTTTAGTAGATTTTATTATTGCTTCCAATTATTATGCACCCCTTTTCTTTGTAAGAGGATTACATATCCCCACTTATACAACCCATCACACTGGCCACGTGACTTGCTTTAGAAAATGACCTGTAGGTGGACCTGAAGAGCTCAATGTCTGAGCTAAAGTTGAGCTATTGCTCTATTTCCTCTGTCATAAGAATGTCATGTCTCTGGTAGACGCTGCTACTTTAGCAGAATGAGAACATATATAGAGGTGGGATAGAGCAGATAGGGAGCCATCAACATGCAATGTGGGTAAGAAAGAAATTTTATTTACTTATTTATTTATTTGCTAGCCATTGAAATTTGGAAGGTTGTTTGTTAATACAGCATAACATAACCAAATTGACTAATATGCTAATGCTTGGGGGGAGGGGGGAAAGCAACGGCCAATTTAGAATCTAAGTCCAGAAAAAAATATCCATCAAAAATAAAGATAAAACAAGATATTTCAGGTCAAAAAAACCCTAAGGGTGTTCATTGTCAGCCCATCAGCACTAAAAAAAAAAATACTAAAAGCAGTTACTAGAAGAAAAATAATCCCAAGGAGAAATTTGGATATGTAGAAAGAAATTAAGAGCAACATAGAAGATAAACATGTGGGCAATAGGAATTAATTTGACTTTACTAAATAAAAATAATGATTTTATGAAGTTTTAAATATATTTACCATATAATAAAAATTCATGATAATAATAATATGAAATGGAGTTAAGGATTCTAAGTTTCTAACACAGTTGGGGAACTGATAAGAGTAATTATTTGTACACTATCATAATGAGTCAAGGACACAGGTTTTAATTTCTAGTGTAACCATTAAAAATATGGTAAAACCATGTGCAATAAAAGTTAATAGAGGGAAAAATCAAATAATAAAATAACTTGCCTAATTCAAAAGAAAGCAATTGAGGAAAGAAAAATAAACATGAAATAGATTGGTTAAATAGAAAACAATGAGATGGTGGATATATACACAAATATGTCAATATGTATATTACATGTAAATATGTTGAATTTTCTAAATAAAAGACCTAAATTATCAGACTAGATACAAATCCCAACTCTATGCTGCTATGAGACCTTAAATATAAAGGCACAGACATGTTGAAAGTGAAAGAATTGAAAAAGATCACAATGTGAACTTTAAGAAAAAAAGTAAGTGTAGCTATGTGAATATCAAAGTGGGACTTTATGACAAGAAGTTACTAGAGCTAAAGAGGGATATTTTGAAATATAACAATTCTAAATATGCACCTACCAAAACTATGAATTCAGAATATATAAAGCATGTGTTGACTGAAGTATTAGAAGAAATAGACAAATTCATATTTATAATGGGAGGTTTAATGACACTTCTCTAAGAGATAATAGGAGGCAGGCAAAAAATTAGTAAGTATAAATAAGATCTGAATAATACAATGAACAATTTGCTCCAATTAATATACAGAGTATAGTAACCAAGAGTGATAAGATTAGGAGGAGCTTTACATAATGATAAAGGGGTCAATTCTCCAAGAAGGCATAACAATAGTTGATGTGTATGCACCTCACAACAGAGTGTCAAAATACGTGAGGCAGAAACTGATAGAACAGCAAGAAGACATAGATAAATCCACTCTTATAGTTGGAAAATTCAACACCCCTCTATCAGAAATGAACAGACCCAGCAGGCAGAAAAAAGATACAGTTGAACTCAATAGCACCATTAATCAACTAGATAAAACCGACGTCTGTAGACTACTTCATCCCCAAACAGCAAAATATACATTCTTTTTAGGTTCACATGGAACATTCACCAAGATAGACCACATTCTGGGCCATAAAACACGTCTTTACAAATTTAAACCATTAGAAATTCTACAGTGTATGCTTTCAGATCACAGTAAAATTAAATTAAAAATCAAGAAAAGAAAGATAGCTGGAAAATCCCAAAATATGTGGAGATGAAACAACACACTTTTTAAATGTAATTAACCTATAAATTTCCTTCTAATCACACTTTTGGCTGCATATCATAAGTTTTAGTATATCGTGTTTTCATTTTTTATTCATCCTAAAGTATTTTCTAATTTCTTTTGGCTTCTTCTTTGACCTATTGGTTTTTTAGGAGTGTGTTGTTTAATTTCCACATATTTTAAATTTTTCCATATATTTATGAATAATTTTCCTCCTGTTATTCATTTTTAGCTTTATTCCATGGTGGCTGGAGAAGACACTTTGTATGATTTCAATCATTTAAAATTTATTGAGAATCGTTTTGTGATCTAACATATGGTCTATCCTGGAAAATTTTCCATGTGCACTTCACAGAAATGTGTATTCAGCTGTGGTTAGGTAGATTGTTCTCTATAGTCTCTGATAGATCTAGTTCGTTTGTAATGATGTTCATTCTTCTACTACTTTCAAGATATTCTAGCTATTATTGAAAGTGGAGTACTGAAGTCTCCAACTACTGTAATAGAATTATCTTTGTCTCCAAATCTGTCAATATTGCTTCAAATATTTGGGGGCTCAGTTTTTGGTGTGTATATGCTTGCAATTGTTATACATTCTTGATGAATTGACCCTTCTATTGATATATTATGTCCTTCTTTGTCTCTTGTAACAGACTAACAAAGTTTATTTTGTCTGATATTTGTATAGCCACCTGAAATCTCTTTTGATTACTGTTTGCATGGAGTATATTTTCCCATGATTTACTTTCAACCTATTTGTATTCTTGGATCTAAAAATGAGTCTCTTGTGGACATCATAGTGTTGAGTCATGTTTTTTTTTTTTAATCTATTTTGTCAATCTCTACTTTTTGATTGGAAGCTGAATCCATTTATCTTTAAAGTAATTACTGATAAGAAAGGAATTAATTGTGTCATTTACTATTTTATTTCTGTATGTCTTACACTTTTTTTTGTTCCTCATTTCCTCAGTTACTGCCTTTTTTGTGTTTAGTTGATTTATTGCAGGGTTTATTTTGATTGCCTTCTCATTTGTATATGTATATATCATTTATTATATATGATATATATAGACGACATACATGTATTTATATATTTTCTTGATGGTCACCATGGGATAAAAATTAACATAATTGTAACATTAAATATATAACAATCTAGGTTGAATTGATACCAACTTGCCTGCAATAGCATATAAACATTCTGCTGTTGTACACCTCCAACTCTGTCCCTTTATGTTTTGTCACAAATCACAATTTTAAACATTGTGTGCCCAATACCATAGATTTATAATTATTTTTATGTATATCTCTTTTAAATCATTTAGGAAATAAAAAGTGAGGTTAAAACCAAATACAATAGTACTCACTTTTATATTTACATATTTACCTAAGTAGTTATTTTTTTGTAGTTATGTATATAGCTCTTTACTGAAGATCTTTATTTCTTCATTAAGCTTTGAATTAACGTGTAGTGTCCTTTCATTTCACTCTGAAGGACTCTCCTTAGCATTTTTTGTAGGACACGTC